GGGACCTTAAACGAGGTAAGCATTGGAATTACAGCAGTCATAACAGCCTACAATATAACCAACCTGCTCCTATGACGAGGAACATTGAGCAGTTCACCAGCTTTCTGCTTCTTATATTCAGCAAGTTCCCATTTCTTATCCAGCAATTTCCACAGCTTTTGCGCCTTCCAATCATTCAGTAAGCGTAGCCTAAGAAGAGTGCAGAGTTGAGAACACCGTGAATCAAAAAGCGTCACCAAAAACGAAATCGGAGTTTGAAAAGTGCAGAATGTTTGTAGCCATTTCGCCTCACAATGACCAACCATGTAATTTCAGCAGAAAAAAAGTTGCTGTGAGGTACCTCTACTGCCTAGTTACAAAAGGCACACCAGCTTTGGAATTGCATGTTACCGTTCTCCCAGAGGAGGGGAGAGACCGGAAATTGGAGGACAAAATAGGAGAAGAAGAGGACTGAAAAAGTCAAAGAAGAAACTAATTCACAAAAACAAAAAATAAGGTGTCCATTCCTCTCCCCTGCTTTAAGGACAACATATGACCCAACCCTCAACATGCATGGTTTTAAGCATGAGATCTCATAAAATTGCTCGAAAATATGTTCGAGATGATCGACCCCGAAATGATGTCGTCTGATGCGCAGTCACTGATCCTGCATGCTTTGTGAAAGAGAGCGAGCGCATTAGGTGAAACTTCCGAACAATGATAGTGCAAGCGTGAAGGCATTTCAAGCACGAGCAAAAAACAATCAGTTTCACGTGCATTCATTTAGATTCCACCGTTCCACATTACAACATTGAAATGCCATTCGAAACAACCATCGCTTCAAAGCACGAAGATTTCACAATTCACACTTGCTGCTTTAATGTTGAGTGAACGTTTCATATGTTGGGCCATACTAAAGAAAACAAAGTACCGAAGTGGAAAAGAAAACTTCTACTAGCCCAAAATATTTGGGGAAAAGCGCTGAAATACTGTCACAACCCACTGTTGCAGTGTTAGCAGCGTAAATGTGCACAGCTCACCACCAGGTACACATCTAACAACTCAATTTTCACTGCTCTAAGGAATACTAGCTTGTAGCTCAAGCGAAAAGCTATCCATTTCACACGCATTCACTTACAATACAAAAAAATAGGGAAAAGAAGAAATGAATAAAAAAAACGAACCGAGGAAAAGATAACGAGGAAAAAAAGGATAAAAGGATAAAGCATTTGCCGTTGATCAATCCCTTTTTGGGATGCGGCACGCATTCTACTTCCATTGTACATTCGTAGTGGCGTTTGAATGCGATGTGGCCTATACAATGACTTGCGGGGGCCACAAGTCAGTGTTTTTATCCTCCCAGACAAGTCTGGTACCAATTAACCGACCCCGGAGGGATGGAAGGCTTGGTTGGCCCGGGCGACTCACGACCCAGGATTTGATCCCCGGACCGCTCGCGTGGTAAGCGTGCCACTTGCCACTACACCACTTCCGCCCGGAAGAAAAATAACGGTCCACTATTTCACCAATACAATAATATCAAGTAGTTTTTCATTGTTGAGATTCATCTGTATGGATTATTAAGTGCCCCAATCGCGACTAGAATATTTATTTTCGCTGCGGGCAATTTAGCGACAATACGACGTCGAACGGTGCCAATTGGCGCCGGCGCCAAAATGAATGTCATATTCGCAACCATCGACCATCGAACAACCCGCATAGATGAAACTCCGACAGAGATAAATCGGAGGTTTTAGAGCTGTGACAGAGGAAATTTGTCAGAAAACTGACCGAAGGAAGAGAGCAACTTCTCGATTCTGAGCAGATAAAAACAGATGCATGATAAAAATGTTGAACTTACCTTCGGTAGACGTTGATGGCATCTGCGGGGTCGATGTCGAGTGCTATGCACAGTTGATAGAAAGAGTTTTGTATTGAGCGGAATGTTGAAGCGGCAATAAAATTATCGAATAAAGTACAGGTTGCCATAGTCTTCAAGTTAAACACTGCTAGAGTTCATAACACATCTGAAATACACATCATATGAGCTACTAACTATAAGAAGGGTTTAAATACTGTTTCGAATGGTTACAACGGCAAGAAGGACTATCGGGAACAGTTCACATAGACTTTGTGAAGGGGTTAGCTATTTATGCACGCCACAGTACCCCACAATAGAATCTATTCTGTGAGAATAACAAGGGAAATAGCGTATGCATTGAGACGAGCTCTCAGATAATGACTTCCAGTTTCCCATGAAATGAAATGGCGCTCACAACAATGACACATTTCAAGTGAACAATCCGAGGACACAACACATGATAATGGAGACATTCGAGGCAATAAGTGCGATTGTGAAACGATAGCGAGCACGCAAACATCGGGCTGATAAGAAGTTTATGCCGGTGGCTGAAACACTAGGAGCGTCAAACAGACCACAAAACCAGAATCCCATCTAGAGATCTTTGGAAAGCTCGTTAAGCAAACATCTAAAAGCTATTCAGCCATAAAAGGAACGACATTAAACTGTAGTTTTTTAATTTTAACGACGATTTGGCTAGCCAATTCGTAGGCCCCCATGTCAAGTCAAAAATTTAGTCGCCACGGGGGATCGAACCATTAACAGTACCTTATGCTTCTTTTTTGTACTGCTATAACCGTTCAGCGAAAATGAAACATGGTTTTGTGTTCCCTACATGCATCCCTACAATATGCAAGAAACCGTTTTGGAAAAGCGCTGGCTTTGACCTTGAAAGACCCCCTGTAAGGCACTCGTCGTGAAACATAATACGTCATGTGCGCTTTGCCATCCACGCATTTTATTTCACGTCATTTTATCAATACTGTGGGAAAAATAGTGCAAAAGGCTCAAACCGCGCATAACGAGGTCAAATTCGAAACGTGTCTCAGCAGTTAATGAATCTGAACACGACCTTGTAAGTGGTCTCTAACAGGTTCAATGTCGAGTGGGAAGTCGAGGCCGCCTAAGTGTTCACTCCGTCAGTAAAAGTACTAATCGAGTCAGAGCTTCACTGACCGAACTCCCTCTTATTACCTTTGCTTTAACTTAGCAATAATTTCAATAGTTCTCATCCACCTTAAGGGACGCAGAGGCCGACTCGTCGTATCGCTTGAATTTAGTAGTCCGAATATTTCGTAAGGCATAAAGAAGCTCCCGGGATAGTGACAATGCTGAAGTCCTGCTTAGACTACACATTTTGGCAAGCGATCAATTTATAAACTAACATGTCGCACCATAATCCTCCACCTCCTCCCCCCTTCAACATGATTAAGACCCTATTTTAGGCCAAGATATTCTGCTGAGTCAATAAACTATTCAGAAGTGAAATATGTCTCGTTATACGAAAAATTGGCTGGCATAGGAAAAGTTCTCAAGTAACACTTGCAAAATTGGCATTTAAAAGAGCCTGAATAAAGAAAGGAAAATCGTATCAAAAGATTCAAGGGGTCAAAATAAACAAACCTTGGCTTCCCTTTCCCCATACCCAAAAAAGGATTCCACCCAGCCGTCATGTGGGAGGCTGAGATTGAACAGTACGGGATAAAATCCCGATGGAAATTCAAAATTTGAATGATGCAAGAAATGGACAGTGTGAAATGTGGGAATGAAATGCGGCGGGAGGTGGTATGAGGTCGACCGACGATGGATGGGACGGGAGAGCGGCGCAGCGAAATGTGCCGCCGCCACAAGCCCCGCCCGAAAAGGAACGGGCGACAAAGCTGAGCAGCGCCGAGTGTCAATACGTTTAATGCTCCCCTACCGATTGAGACCCGTTTTTTCTGGGGATTATATTTTTCCCCGAAGGCTTTCCCTGCCTTCAAACGTGGCCTTCAACGTGGAACTTCAACATTACACTGGAAGTGCAAGCTATCTAACCCAAGGCTGTGAATACCCAAATACATCAACGGGTAAATGGACCAAATCAGATTGATACACCACGACTGCGATGTCTAAGCCCAACCTTGAGAGGATAGCGCTGAGATGCGCCATGCATTTGATGTCTGCTGAGACTTGTAGATCAATTGATTGCGTAAATGATCTACATTGGCTTCGAAAAGTCGATGTTTAGATAAGCGTTTTGCTTCCATAGGTATGTTCGACATCGATGGAACGTTCCAGAGGGGATGAAAGGCCCACTGCCATGAATAGCAGACAGCCATGCGCGCTATCGATGCAGCGCGCTATCGATGCACTGTTTGATGGCGCATAGCCACCTGAGGCAGGATTCACACCTCAGGATTTAGGCTATTTGGCTATAGTGCTGAGAGGAGTGATTCAGAGATGTCACGATTAGAGCCCATACATAGTCGGTCGTAACGATCGCATAAGCCGCGGTCGCATAGGGGAGGCGATGCGGTGACCCAATGGAAACCCAGACAATACGTGACTGCGCGTCATGGTATTTCGAAGTCCATTTGTTCGAGTGTGAGTAGTAGATGCGTATCGATCGTGCGACACATGCGATCGCAACGATCGTAACGGTCTATCACATGTGTCGCACGTTAGGCGATCGATACGTATCTAATGCTGTGCGATCGTTACGATAGAACGACCGACTATGCATGCGCCCTTAGGCGATCCGATGATCCGGCGACCGAGGAAATCCGCTAAGGATTAGGTGATTATTAGGTTAATTAGGTGTCAGGATGATAATGAACCCGGCTCTTTGAGCGATATGCAGCGTTTCCCCCAATCGATATCATATACATTCTCAGCGGAAGTTGCTGAGTAGCCGAATGCGGCCTATTCTCCAAAATCTGCGAACCATGAATGCAACTTACAAGCTGGAAAATCGTCTACAGAATAGAGTAGGTTAGTTATGTCTTTTGGCAGTCTTAATATGGACATAAAAACTTAGAAGTGGGCAGGGAAAACTGGCGATGCCGTGCCTAGGTTATAATCTTGGTGAAGGTTGACGCTCAATACCTTTTTTCTTTGCAAGTACGGAATATAACACTAAGCCATGCTACGATATAGGATAGCAGCGAGGTTATAAGCCGTCAAAGTTTCCAAAGGACCAAAGTACCAGAACGACCTTAAGCAGCATTAGGGTTCTCGAATTGGGGCGTCAAATCAGTGAATAAGTATCGATTAAAGAACCGATGTATCGACTTAGGATTTGCGAAAAATCAATATTTCGGAATCGGATGTATGATCTCTTTCCAATGAAATCGCCCAGATACCCAAATTGTAAGCTATGAAAACTGCTTCACGTGAACATACATCCAGTTACCCTACATAGAGCTTCGGCAAAAGATCACTCTGGCTGAGGCGCAGGTGGCCCAATAGGGCCTTTCAAGGGCCGCAACTGATTGGATTTGGAACAAAGAGAGATATGTTCCGATTCTGCGCTCAGGGGCCGTGAGGGGACGAAAATCCCTTCAAATTTTCTCTGTCTTCCCGGCCCTACATTTAATATATGTGTGTAGGTTAAAGTAGACATGCACTGAAAATGAAGAAGCAGTATTATTCAAAATAAATAAATTTGAAGGGATTTCGTCTCCCAACTATTCGGTGAGCATACCTTACGGCCCCAGGATGTATTCCTTTTGAACTCTCCTATCCCACCACTCAGCTATATGTACATATGTGTATCATATATGTATGTTTGATCGTACAATGCAGCTATATGCTTTATGTACGCATGTAACGTTTAAGCTCATCAAAAGCTAACATAGTTCCTATTATAAAGGATAAAGGATAAAGCATTTGCCGTTGATCAATCCCTTTTTGGGATGCGGCACGCATTCTACTTCCATTTGTACATTCGCAGTGGCGTTTGAATGCGATGTGGCCTATACAATGACTTGCGGGGGCCAGCCGATGTTCAAGTCAGTGTTTTTATCCTCCCAGACAAGTCTGGTACCAATTAACCGACCCCGGAGGGATGGAAGGCTTGGTTGGCCCGGGCGACCCAGGATTTGATCCCGGACCGCTCGCGTGGTGAGCGCGCCACTTGTCACTACACCACTTCCGCCCTAGTTATCCTTTACGCCTATAGACAATAGAAAATGGGAGCAGGAGGAAAAGTGGGCGGCGCCGAGTGGCGATGATTGCGGTAAGGGAAAGGGTAGAATATTGCAGTTATTAGGCAAGCCACATTTCACTGACATTTCTACGAGATCAGGTTTTGCCCACGTTCAACAAACCTGTCAGTCTCGAGTTAATAACTCGGTACCAGGCTGTTTGAGAGGGAAGGGTCGTTGAGTGGAACCTCGCTTTCAGTGCAAGCATTTGTAGAGGAATAAAATATGGCACAATTGGTTTGTCGGACTAGAATTAAGAGCAAATGTTTGTCACATTTCCATAAAGGCTTGTTGCATCGATAGACAAACCTCTTGTCCTCGTCATTTCATATTCGTTGTTTCCCTGCCTTCTTTGTTAAGGCAACTACCTTCCTTGAGGTGGACTAATTGGCCCCAAAAGTTGCACAATAGAAGGCGCGTGGCACGGATGCATGGCGCATCCAAGATGGCTACTCGTGTCCATATTTGCTATTCACATCGTGCTTGCAGGCCACGATGATGATTCGACTGCTGTACAGGCAAGGGGGGGGGGGGGGGGCCAAAATAAAGGGAATTGAGCCGAGCATTGAAAAAAAAAACGTAAAATGCTGTTGATTAGGACGGTTCAATGTGAAATTGCATTCCAATGTGGATTTACTGAACAAAATTGAATATTTCGAAACAAATCGAACAAACACCAATCCTGTGTGCTGACATCGAAAAATGCTTTTGGAAGCCGTATTCGACTGGCTCCATTTCAGAAGAAGAGATATAAGATGCATCTAAATGTGTGGCTAGCCCTTCAACACTTGAGAGCCCGTGTAGGTTTCATAATTTACGGCCTTGAGGGACCCCCTCACCTGTTTGAACGTCGAGGTTGCAGCCAATATGTGGGCAACGCGGACTGTCGTGACCGGTTTTTTGAATGACGGACGGGTTCGTTTGAAAGGGTTCGCCTCAAG